GAGATTTATTACACAGTCCTCACCAACATTCATCAGCATACTGCTTTATTGCCTGATCACCAACCAAGCCAAGGTTGGCCAAGACCTCTGCATTGATGATGGTGGGTTCTGGTAAGACGGGGGCCTTTGGGTCTTTGTCACTATGACGAAAATTCTGGGTGACGCAAGTTCGGCTCGGAGGAAAGTGGGTTCTGATTGTTAGAGGGAACGCAAGCGATGAGACCAAGTGTCTCAGAGTCAATAGTGTGTGCCACTGCCACAATCTCGTGCTCAATGACAGCCAGAGTAGCAAAAGTGCTTGTTAGCTTGAGTTCCAGGTGCTGGGTATGTTCCTGGAGTTTGACATCTTCAACTGGGAGTACCGGTTCCTTTTGTAGCATGGAAAGCAATTTGGTGATGGTGCGGAAAGCGAGAATATTTCTGGGAATATACCCCGATGGGGAGTTCTGAGCGATGCTATCTGGGCCTCTGCGAGATGGGTTGGGAGGGATATCACTTTTCTTCCTCCCAAGAACGTGCAATACAACGGTGTTGATGAAGGGCATGACGTTGGAACTGGTCGAGTCTGAGACCGCTTGAAAGACCAAAACGACAGTCTATGAGTAATTCAATCTTCGATAACAGGCATTAGCTTCGGTATTAGAAAGGGAGAGCAAGGACATTACATACTTCAAGACGATGGAATGAAAGGTAGATGGTTGGGGTATCCTCCGCTTGCCGATGCAGCCTGAGGGAAGGACGTCCAAGGGATCAGCAGAGCTCGATTGTAGGTGAGCGTGGAGGGAGAAACGTTGGCAAGCTCAGGTTGTAGGTGAGTGTGGAGGGAGAGATGTAAGTGAGTGACGAGCGCTGTTGGGGCCCTGCCTGTGGGGCTAATACTGTCCCAGGTCGGAATTACATAATAGGTCATCGGACCGGCAATAGCATAATATTGTGTTTTGCCTTTTCCATCGTCCTTCCAATCCGTCGTGAGACGATCGGAGAATATTACGAACGAACACAGACTGCCCGGAAAGAGTTCTTGTGAAGATGTTTTTCTGCAGACTCTGGTATAATCTGCACAAGAGTAATGCCATGTTTTACTACAA